ATTTTGAAGAAATGTTTAGAAAAGTCAATTTTTCCATCACATTTAAGTAATAACAAATTGTTTAGAATCCATTTCATTAAAAACAGATATAAATTTAAAGCTAGATATAAGATCACTAATTGTGTTAAAACATTATGTAAATTAGAAATCAGCGATGCAATTTACAAACAACACATTACTAAAACTAAAATCTTAAATACTTACAAAAATATAACAAATACCATTCCAATTAACATTTATAAAAAATTCTTTTTAACACAAAATAATAATTTGAATAAGTTTTATAACTCTGAAAAACATAAATTTGATAAAAAAACATGCATGGATGATTTCTAAACATACACATAACAATATTATCAACATAAATAAGATTAACTATTAATGTCATTCTAATACATTTAACACATTAGACAATATTTGCAATACTAATAATATCGACAACGATCCATCTACACACCAAAATGTTTCTTGTGATTTGAAGAACCAATTTTTTAACATACAGATTGGTCCTTCAAAATACCGACACATTAAGTATAACATAAATCAAATTAACGACAAATGGTTTATTAATCTAACTGAACACATTATTCCGAATAATGTTCAATCTCTTCTTCAACTTGGAGAAAAATTTTGTTTACCTATTAATAGTATCAAAAAAATAACCATAAATTTAATTAAAAATTTTAAAAATAATGTTCGCAAATTTAAAAACTTTAACTTCTCTGAATTAAAAAATATCTGGAGACACGGTAGTGTCTCGGCGCTAAGCCAAGCACCGCGGCACTGCCGTGCCTTCTTTACGCGAAACTGAGAGTTTCGGGGGATTGAGATGATCAGATCTCAGTAACGGCTGAACAGATCAAGTTCTATATACGCTCAATCGATAGCAATTACTTAAATTGTATAATAAAAGTGCTTTCATTTTTTCTCTACGTGTCCTACGAGCGAAGATATCATGACTCAAAGTCCGAATCTGTAAATTTTCACGTTTTATTTTTAAGATACGTCGTCGTCGTTATCATTATTGTCATCATTATTGTCATCGTCGACCACATTCCATTCGATGTCCTTCTGACATTCCTGCCGCAAGAGGCAAATGTGGCGCTAGTCTATACCGCTCGATCGTCATGGGGCATGTGGACTGCGAGTGGAGCGGTGAGGTGAGAGGGGTGCAACTTTCGGTTGATTTTCGAATATTCGTCCAGCTTTCGCAGTCCCTCTTACCATATCGCACCGCGCATAGTACAATGCCATTCGACCATCATGGAGTACTTGGACTGCACGCGGTGAGATGAGGTGAAGAGGGGTGGGCAAATGCAACTTTCGGCTGATTTTCGAATAGCCTTCGTCTAGCTTTCGCTGTTCCCCTCACCTCACCGCTCCACGCGATGAACAATGCCATTCGACTGTCATGGCGCATTTCAACTGCACGCGGTGTGGTGAAGGGGACAGTGCAACTTTCGGCTGATTTTCGAATCGCCTTCGTCTAGCTTTCGCTGTTCCCCTCACCTCACCGCTCCGCGCGCAGAACAATGCCATTCGATTGTCATGGAACATTTCGTTCGACTGCACGCG